TATTTGTTTATTTTTATTGAGGTAACATTGGTTTATAACATTATGTAAATTTCAGGCATATCATTAGTATATTTCGACTTCTGTATAGACTACATTGTGTTCACCACCAAAAGTCTAGTTTTCATCTGTCACTGTACAAATGTCCCCCTTTACCTTTCTCCCTCTCCTCATTCCCCCTTCCCCTCTGGTAACCACCAATCTGTTCTCTGTATCTGTGTGTTTGTTTGTTGTTGTTGTTTTTAAATTTTCCACATACGAGTGAAATCCGTACGGTGTTTGTTTTTCTCCGTCTGACTTATTTAGCTTAGCATAATACCCTCAAGGTCCATCCGTGTCGCAAATGGCAAAATTTCATCTTTTTTTATGGGTGAGTAGTATTTCATTGGAGTAACTGAATCTCATAGGGTAGTATTACCCTTTTAAAAAGAGCAGTGATTTCACAGGGCCGGCCCTGTGGTGTAGCAGTTAAGTGCATGTGCTCCACTGCTGGTGGCCCGGGTTCGGATCCTGGGTGCTCACCGAGGCACTGCTTGTCAGGCCATGCTGTGGTGGCGTCCCATATAAAAAAGTAGAGGAAGATGGCCAGAGAGGTTAGCCCAGGGCCAGTCTTCCTCAGCAAAAAGAGGACGATTGGCATGGATGTTAGCTCAGGGCTGATCTTCCTCACAAAAAATAAAATGAGCAATGATTTCAGAGGTTTTAACCAAGACCTTATTCTCCCCATGAATCCATGTTTGTCAGGATGCTTACTACCAAAGTGTATGTGTTAAGTAAATTTATTTTTCCTTCTGGTCTTAATTAGATGCATGGAATAATGTTAATTATAAACTTTGGAAATGTTAAAGGTGGCTTTTAAATCCCTAATCCTGCCTTCTTGAAACCCTAAGCTTCTGAGCCTCCTGATTGAGGAGGTGGTTTTCCTTTGGTCCTCCTGAAATAAAATAACATGAAGAGTCACCTCAACCAGCGGTGCAAGTGCATGTGAAACCTGAAGTAGCAAAGTGTAGTGGAGAGTGGTTAAGAGAACCTAGCCCCCTGGCTTTCACTCTGCCCCTTAATAGCCTTGTGATCTCAGGCAGGTGTTTGTCAGTACTCCCATTTCCTCATTTCTAAAATGATACAGAGGGAGTCGGCCCCATGGCTTAGCAGTTAAGTGCGCACGCTCTGCTACTGGCGGCCCGGGTTTGGATCCCGGGCGCCCACCGACGCACGGCTTCTCCGGCCATGCTGAGGCCTACATACAGCAGCTGGCAGGATGTGCAACTACGACATACAGCTGTCTGCTGGGGCTTTGGGGAGAAAAAGGGAAAAAAAGGAGGAGGATTGGCAATAGATGTTAGCTCAGGGCTGATCTTCCTCACACACACAAAAATAAATAAAGTTCTAAAATGATACAGAGAATACCCATCTCACAGAATATCCACAGTAAGTGAGTTTAAGTTACTAAGCACTTGAAACAGTGCCTAGCACATAAATGATAAAAAAAATCAGCTTTCCTTTTATAGAATTTTGAGCTTAAAAATTTGGTCTGAAATAGTTTGTTTTAGTAAAATTGAGATCTAAACCATTTAATTAATGTTTTAAAATGTTTTTAGTATTATAGCTAGTTTCTTCATATGGTACAAAATTACACTCTAGAAAGGCCATTTGGTCAAACTGCCAACTCTGTCAAGTTTCTGCTGTAGGTGTTTCTTACTGTTGCTCTTTGATTTGTCTTTGACGTGTCAGTTTTTGGCTGATATGTAATTGGGTACTGATAACTTGTTGGAGTCAAGTGCAGCCCTGAGTACTCAGTGTGAATAAAGCATTTCATTTCTGCAACCCAGAGAACCTGGTATGTCACTTCTCTTCATTTCAGTCGGTAAACTTGTCAATTAGCTGCATTTGAAAAGTGATTTTTGATTAGTGCAATCAGTAAACATGGACTCGTTTCTGTGATTGCCATGCTGATTAGGTAAATTGTCACTTGAGGAGCTATTGGCGAAGCCTTGGTTTATGTGGCCTTAGAGGCCTAGAAAAGGGATAAGTTTTTAAAGACCAAAAGAAAAAATTAACTGTCATTTTTCCTCTCTCACCTGTAGCTTTCTGAGTGCAATTCACTATCTCAGAACTTTTTTTTTCCCTCTCAAATGGATCTTCTGTTAGAGCCATACAAATGAATGGTAATTTTTGTTTTACCTTCCACTTCATTACTTATCAGCCAGGAAATATTTCTGTTTTATGGATACTTAAGGGCTGTATATATTGTTCATAGCCACATTAAGAGATTTGTTTAAAAGTAGCCTTGAAGTTTTTCTTTGATCCTTCTTATTTTTCTTTTTTGGATTGAAAGCAAGAGATGTTTTAAAAATTGTGTGACAGAATTTTTAAATATTAGAAAATTTGCTTAGATTTTAACAAAAAACTATAGATTTTGCATGTGCTGGCATTTATTTATGTGAAAAAAATTGTTCTGGAGGAGAGAAATAGTAAAAGCAAAATAGAGCGGGAAGCACCTGGTATACCAAAAGTGATGAAACAGGAGCTTTTACCATTTGTCTAGGCACTTATGGGTGTGTCCATAGACTACTGAGAAGGGATCCCCCCTCCACAAAAAGCATTTATGCTCAATGAACTTGACATTCACTTCTACTTAGAAATATTGGTGTGCTTAATCTAACATGTAGCATAAATTTGAATCTAATGAATACGTATTCCTGATAGTGATGACTTTCCTTCCCTTTGTACTGTTTCTAGGAGAAAATATACAAGCTTTTTTTCTGCCTTTATTTTCCATAAAATATTAGGATAGCATTTCTGAAGGCTTGTCTTAATGTGGATGTGTCTTTTTACTATCTTCATTCAATTTTAAATTATTAGGGATCCTGTGTGGAAGCCTCTGTCAGTACCATGGAGAGTATGTATTCTGTGATGATACCATATATAAAAAGATACCGTGGAGCCAGAATCACAAAATTAAGTCTTAATGATTTACCAAGGGGCATGTATCCAGGATCACCACAGTGATTCTGGGACATGTGAAGCACAGAGCTGGACGAGGGTCAGAATGAAATGCACTGTATTTCTTTTGGCTTTTGTTATATTAGCTAATTTTGTATATGTGAGACACTAAAATAAAATACTCTGGCAACATTTTAACCAGTTCTCAGTAAACTCATTTTTGTACGATATCTGAATAGAACAGGGACTCCAAGTTTAACAAAGCAGTGATCAGAAAAAGTGGCCCAAACACTGATTTTACTTTTAGTAGCTTGCTTTCTCATAAATGATATCATTGAAAATCTTTTATGTGTTGAGGTAAGTATATCTTACGTTTTTCCATAGAAACAAACCACACAGATGAAATGATTGCTGTTTTTGTAAGAATTTTGTGGTTTTACCTCTTGATTATGATTTTCTTATAGTGTATAGTCTGTAGTAGTAATTCTGAAGTTATTCTGGGCCTAGTCTAGGGGTTCTTCCTGCCCTGTTTTCTGTGGATTGTGTGGCAATTAGCTTCGTGGGTTTCCATTTAGGTTTTGAATATCTAATGACCACAGTGAAACCTCCTCAGCATTGTTCCTCAGTTTGACTACTACTAGTTTGGTTTTGAGAGATAAAAAAGGCACTTAATTCAAATTGGCTAGAGGTACCACCTTTCTTTAAATTCAGAATGGGATTCTGTGTGGAAGTAATGGTAGTGAGGGCTTCCTTGCTCCTTTCTGAGAGAAGCATCTTGTGGCCTTGGCTGCTGGAAACTCCTTGTGCTGACCGTGGACCAAGGGGCAGCAGGCGATGGCCACTCTTCACAGCTGCTCCCCCGGGGGTAGCTTTTCCATTTAGAAAACTTTCTTCAGTCTGTCATTGTCAGCCATGTTGAGATGGGAGGAAGTCCAGAGTGGAAGTAGCTGGTTTTTCGATGCTGGAATCATTGTGAGCAGCCAGAATCTTTACTTGTACCATGTTTTCCTTTTCGGAGGCTTTTTAAAGCACAATTCTACTTTTCTTTCTTTTAAGTCCACCCACATTGCATTTTTTTGGTTCCTAACCAGAGATAAGCTTTCATTTCTTCTTTCCTTTAAGAAAGTAATTTTGAAAAGCATGTTTCTAGTTTGTGTTTCCATTAAACTGTGAGCCTGAATACATTATGGTGAGCCTTGTTGTCCTTGGGTTTCGGGAGTCTGGAGGAGGTTACTTCCTCACACAGTGAGCTCATTAGACAGCTCCTGCAGCCAGCTGTTTTAATTAGGTCACACGCAGACCCTGCTGAAGGGTGGCCAAGGTGACTGTGAGGCTGGAGACCAGAGTGGTGCTTGGTTGATAGCGGCCTGCTGAGCTGTGGAGCGCCCCAGCTGACCGGTGTTGTGGGGTGTTCCTTGTGTCCCGTTTGTGTGGAGGAGCAGCAGCCGTTTAATTGTGTCTTGTGAGATGTTGCTAGTTCAGCTTTGTGTTACAGGAGAAGTTTTGACTAGTAGAAAACAATAGAAAAGTGGTGGTTCCTGTATCACCATGTGTTTCTGGCCTGTGTTAGAGAGATGCTGTACTCTCCACTTGATGTAATAATAGCTAGGTAAGTCAAGGTTCCTTTCCAGTTTACACGTTTAGGGGGGATATTTTGGAATTTCTAAGTTACTGTTCATTCAGTTTGTATTTATGGAAAAAAACCTAAATGCCTTCCTTTCGTACAGCATTTAAAATGTAAATGTGAAAAATATATGTACCTTTACGTACACATGCACGCATACATAGCGAGTGAGAGAAATGTATAAGTTTAATGAGCAAGGTTTCTAAAGCTATGTTTTGTTATCAAAGGAAAAATAATAAAAGAAACAAAAAATTTACTGACCCTGATGGTTTCATATCGTTTTACATTTTCATTGTGTGTAATTATGGCAATTTATTTGGTTTATAGTCTATCTCAGAATTTTTTCAAGAATTTTTTATTATAAAATATGTGGGTAGCTTAATATGTGATTACTTTTAAAAATCTCCTGTTTAACCCTTCCCTATTTATTTTCCAGATATGAGGCCCCAGGATTCCTGGCGAGGTCCTCCTCCCCTTTTCCAGCCACAAAGATTTGACAGGTAATATTAAAGCAAACATGACTTTTAAATATTTTTCCACATCAACATTTTGAGGTTTGGGCTTTCTCCATGGTTTGAAATATACCTTCCTCCCTCTAAACAGTTTCTCTTGTGCCCGTCCTCTAGGAAAATAGATGGTTAACACGTTGAAGTAAAAGATTGATGTTTATATACTTTCCTACTTTTCTTGGTTCTTGGCCTATATTTTATTAAGAATAAAATACAGGTGCCCTGAAAAATGCAACACAGAGAACTTAAAATTGTATTAGGTTTTGGTCAGGCTAAACAAATTTCTTTTTAGAAGAGTTGTGCAGCTTAATGAGGCATAACTAATGGTGTTCCACTTTTATCATTTCTGTGCCGGCAACGCAGCATTAGTACAGACCAACCATTGATTCTTGCTACAGACCTCTTGAAGTCCTAATCAGCTTCTTTGGTACAACTTTTTCAGAGCTGACAAGCCTATTGTAGGGCAGTGTCACTGTAGGTCAGTAGTTATTAGTTGCCTCTGAAAACAGTTTCTTTAACTGCTTAAGACTGAACTGAATTAAACGCAGAAGGGACTCAGAAGAGGATTATGGGATCTGCAGTCTAATAAGTACCACGGACTAGGAAGAATGTGACATGGTTTAATAACAAGGGATGTTTGACATGTGTTCTTTCATTGATAAGTTGTGTGCTCCTAAGTCAGGTGGTCTCTACACGACAAGACAGCTAGGCATATTATGAATAGTTGTATTAACATCTGTAGAATAATTTTTTAAAGGACAGCTTTAAAATCCATCATTTCATACTGGTTTTGCCAGCATCAGTAAATGCTAAAACGAATTAAGCCTCATCATAGTAAGGCTTCCTTCTTTGCCTTCCCAGTTTTAATCTGTTTTGTTCTCCCCTCCTCTACCGTTTTAGCAGTCTAATCTCTTCACATCTGAAATGCATCAAGTGTTATGAACAGGGTTATAAATGCTGTTGCCCCTTTAAGAAGACTCCTTCTTTAGAGACTCCAAAACTTCATTATTTTCTTCAAGAACATAAAGGAAATCATGTTATTCAGTTGTTTATTAATAGTATCAACTACTTACTATAAGCTACATTTTAAATTTAAGATGACTGATCATGCCTATATTTATGTTTTGTTTTCAATATAAGCACTCAGAGCACACTGTGTGTACTACTTTAACATCCTCAGGGTAGCACCATTTTCAAACAAATGAGTAAGGGGTAAATTTTTTCTAAATTACATATATTATCACATTAGAACTATCTCACTCTAAATAACTGTCTTTCTGCATTACATTTGTCAAGTTTGATTTTAAGACTTGGTTTCCCCATTTTGTTGCTTACTTCTTTCCCATATTATTAATAGTCACTAATATTTATCATCTGCTTATGAAATGTCAGCACTGTGGTAACATGCTTTTAGAAATAAGGACTTCATTTATTCCCCCTAGCAATCCTTTGAAGTTGATGTTGTTATTTTTATAGATGAGGAAACTGAGGCACACAGAAGTCCAGTAGCTTACCTAAGGTCTCTTTTTCGTGCCATTCTTCACTAAGAAACTTTTCACTCCAACAAAACTCATCAGAGTGCTTACTCTGAGCATGATATTACAGTAAAGCCATAGGAGCTTCAAAGGAACTAAGGATTCCACTTCTGAGGCATTCTTTCTTCAGTCCCAACAGCTTTCTTTCCCTGTACACAGAAGTTTTCCTAAGATCATCACCATTGTCCTAATATCCACTGTTTTTTTTGTTCTGCCCTAGCCAAGTACTAGTATTATCCTGACTGACTTTGTGAACCCAGCAGATTAAGGACAGGTTTTCTAGGGACATTTTTGATTTAGTTCTGGTCAGAAGCTTAAAATCATGCCTTAAAGCAAAAGTTAAATGTGAGCATAATAGAATTCTCTCTTATGTCTTAAGTCGTGGTCATTTAAGAAATATACCATTTATTCATAAAGAAAACAAAGTTTGAATTCAGCCATCCTAAACTTCTCCATTCACCTATTAGCAAATACCGTATATCACTCATTTCTGTAGCACTTGTCAGTCTAACCGTTCTGACCTTACAAGACATAGAGGAGAAAATATGAACTCATAGTCACTTTGGCTTTGCTGAGATGTCACAGCTAGTAAGTAGTAGAATTCTTACTAGAACCAGGCTTTACTGATCCTTAGTTCAATACTTTTCCACTATGCTATTTTGAGGGTTTGGTTGAAAACCCTATTAGAAAAGAAAATTTTGATATACCTTTTTCCCTAAACTACACTGCTTCTTCAATTATTTCCTAGTATGAGATATTATTTAAAATCCACATATTTATTTCATTTAAAAATATAACAGTTGGGTCTGGCCCGGTGGTTTAGTGGTTAAGTTCGCGTGCTCCGCTTCGGCGGCCCAGGGTTTGCAGGTTCGAATCCTGGGCGCAGACCGACACACCGCTCATCATGCTGTGCTGTGGCGGCATCCCGCATACAAAATAGAGGAAGATGAGCACAGATGTTAGCTCAGGGCCAGTCTTCCTCAGCAAAAAGAGCAAGATTGACAGCAGGTGTTAGGCCAGGGCCAGTCTTCCTCACCAAAAATTATATATATATATATATATTATATATTTAACAGGAACACATCCACCTTGTCTCCCCACACAAAGACAACCTAGTGTTAGTAGTGTTAATGTTAAGCAGAGATATCCCGCATGTGAGTTCTTTTCATCACTGAGTTCTGCACCATTGTCTGTGTTGTTCTTGCCAGTGGAGGCTTTTCTTTTCTGACCATATCCAAGGTGGCCATTTAGTTTTTAACTTATGAGTGTTAAGCTCAGTTAGTCGTGGAAATTCTTTAAAAACTCTGATTTGCCATATGTATAAATTAAAAATATCCAAATTAGTAGCAGTTACTTCACATTGCTAGCTATTTTCCAAAACAGTAATTTAGAGACTTAAGAATGTTGTTGCCATCCACGGTGCCAGTACTTCAGACACGCTGTCTCAGGCGATAGCTACTAAGTTTAAAAAGTGAAAATGTGTATCAAACTCAGCCTTCCATTCCGGATTTAAAATGTATTTTCCAAGGCAAATTTCAGTTTGTAAGTATTTGCAAATTAATATAATTAGTATAGAAATATGATAAACTTGTGGAAAATAAAAGGCCTTTCTGCCAGTAAAAAGCAAAAGGGGGTGATACATGTCTTTCTTCTTTTGTTCTTTCTGTTTAATTTTAATTAAATTATTTTTATAAAAATTATCTTTGTCAAAAACATTTTAAGTAATCATTTCAAACAAAAAGGAGAACATTGTGTTTTTAAACTGTGGCTTTGTTCCTAACCTGTTTTTAGAACATAAAATAATGTAACATTGCATTTATAATATATATTATCCATACCAGCAGATTTTCCTGAAACTCAGCTGAGTGAGTTTTATCATTGTAAAACTGAAAAGAAAAATTGATCACAGTTAATACAGTGTGTGAGTTGCATTTTTGGTATATGTTTTGCATTAATGGCCCAGTTTTGATGAGCCTCCTTGGTCACAGTGCAAACCTTAACCCCTTACTCCTACAGGAACCAGAAGAGACCATTCCTGTCTCTGCGTGGACCTGTTCTTGCTAACCAGATGAAGCATTCTTGCTAAAATGTATTTGTATTAATAATGAACTTGAAAAATAATTAAAAGCCCTGAATATATACATATTCTTTCTGATATAGATTTATTTTTTATTTTGATTCATTTACAGCAAATTATGTTATTAGAGATTTAGTTTCACTCGTATGAAGAATGGCATTGGCCTTTCTAGAGTTCTTCAGAGAGCTGTTCTTCAAGTCACCACACAAAAATAATCATCTCCGGTGTTTTAAAAAAAAAAAAAGAAATAGGCAAGCTCCAAGTAAAGGGAGGAGAGTGGGAGTTAGAAAGGATGGATTCAGGCATGAATAGCTGTCAGAAGAATGCATTACTCAATGAGCCCAACTTTGGGCTTTTTTCCCTAAGACCTAGGAAGTGAAATTTGTATGCTGATATGGTTATAGCTAATACTAGCTAGTCAGTGCTTTAGCAAATTTAAAGTTTTATAGTAATTCCTCTTCACATCTTTAATGGCCCCAAACCTTCTGATGTTAAAATATACTGGAGAATTTTGCTTCTGTTTCTTTGTAGTGACTGTTCTATAAAATGAAAGTTGAGGAAAATGCCTCAAGGAGAGAGTTAAGTCTTAAATGGTGATTGCCTTTAGAAGGTATATCTTTGCTACTTTGTTTATGTGACAGTTTTAAATTATGATTTAATACATCATACCTGTTGCTTTGTATCTGCAAAGTTAAAATAGGCCCTTGAAGACAATTAAAACATTTCTTTTGACTAGTAATCTGGGCCAGCAAACTGGGTTATAACAGCTGTTGAATCTGTGTTCCCATGTAAACTGTACACCAAATGCCAGTCAGCCCATGCCAATTAGTGCTCATGTTGCTAGGTCACCGTGGTCAATTGAAAGCTACATCAATAGAACTTGAAAAGGTTTCCTCCTGATCGGACCTTCTGACATATTGAGCAGAATAATGGATGGGAAAAAACAGCCAAGTCCCCTATCCTAGATTCAAAATACTCAGCAGTAAGAATTCATTTGCAACCTGCAATTAACTAGAAAGAATGAACTCCAAGAACAAGTCTGGACTTTTTTTTTAAAATAAAGCCTCCTTCTCCTGTCTTACACATGTTTACTCTTTGGATAGCATCTTAAATGTAGCCAGCTTGGTGATCTTGGGTTCAAATCTTTAAGTGACCAAAAAGGAAATTTCACAATTGAAAATGAATAAAATGTTTTTTTTTGTCAGATCTTTCTGATTCAGTTGAGTTTTAATGCCCTTGTTAATAAATGCTGATACCTCATGAAACATGTTAGACTACTCTGAGTCTGAGGGACATAAAGGCCACTCTGATACTGCATGTCCCATAGGACAGATCCGGGCAAATTGAATTGTCCTAAAATTTGAAGATGATAGCTGCCAGTTTTAGAATTTTGGCTATATAATAGGCTTGGCTTCTAATGCAAACATGATACTTTTCCACAGAGGCGTTGGGGCTGAACCTCTGCTGCCGTGGAACCGGATGCTCCAAACCCAAAACACAGCCTTCCAGCCAAACCAGTACCAGATGCTAGCTGGACCCGGAGGGTATCCACCCAGACGCGATGATCGTGGAGGGAGACAGGTGATACAAAGTGGGCTGTGGGATGAAAAGCATACTGCTTACTTTGTACTTAGCCATGCCTCTTGGGACTCCGTATTTTCTTAAAAACATTTCTGGATAAGATATTGATAGAGTACCTCAGCTGAACTTTGGTCCCTCATTAAAAATGTATATAGGGTGAGTGTCTGCCTCACTAGATAGCTTATACCTTGAAGGTGCTGACGAATTTCCAATCCAAAAGCTTTTTTAATCATAGCAGTCAGTGATATTTACCACAAGTATAGTTGGCCACCAAAATACATTTTTTATCCTTTAAAGATACTGCTTTTTGTTTTAGTAGAAACTAGATCTCTCATAATAGATGATAATTTTATAGAAGCTGAAAGTAAGAATCTGTCCTTTCAGTTGTTATCTTTATTCATGTAGAAGTCTCCTGTCTTGATTAATCTGATATCCTTTCTCATGAAAAGAAATCTCACCTTCATTATTTTCCACATATTTTTCTACTAAATTTAATAGCTATACATTGAATCAGTATAATAATTCCTAGACAGATTTAGTAGATGTAAGCTTCATTTCCTTCTCTTTATAGCATCCAGTTTTAGCAATGTTTAAGAGAGAAGTCTGTTTGTCCCCCAGCCATTTGACACCCTGACCAGTATTTACATGCTCTTTAATCAAATCCTTGCCAAAGAGCAGGATCAGAATGCTGCGGTTTATAGTGTGTGTGGTGTTCATGGAGTATGGCACCTGCAGTGATGTGAAGTGGTTTTTAAATTGCTTACCTGGGGGCTAGCCCCGTGGCTTAGCGGTTAAGTGCGTGCGCTCCGCTACTGGCGGCCCGGGTTCGGATCCCGGGCGCGCACCATCGCACCGCTTCTCCGGCCATGCTGAGGCTGCGTCCCACATACAGCAACTAGAAGGATGTGCAACTATGACGTACAACTATCTACTGGGGGGCTTTGGGGGAAAAAAAAAGGAGGAGGATTGGAAATGGATGTTAGCTCAGAGCCGGTCTTCCTCAGCAAAAAGAGAATTAGCACGGATGTTAGCTCAGGGCTGATCTTCCTCACAAAAAAAATAAATAAATAAAAAATAAATGAATTGCTTACCTGGTGTTGCCTACAGGCTTTCTGCAGTGCTTCAAATAGTAATTTTCTAACTCAGTTTCTTGCCATTTGTCCCTTTGTGTAAGACCTCTCTCTGACAGCTAGGAAAAATCTTTTTTTACACTTTTTTTGTGAAATTCTTACAAGCCTCTGATCACTTTACAAGAAAATAATCATCTTAATTATCTTTGTGTGTGTGTGTGTGTGTGTGTGTGTGTGCGCGCGCGCACGCGCGCTAACATCTGTCGCCAGTCCTCCTCTTTTTGCTGAGGAAGACTGGCCCTGGGCTAACATCTGTGCCCATCTTTCTCTTCTTTATATGGGACGCTGCCACAGCATGGCTTGACAAGCGGTGCATCGGTGCGCACCCCGGATCCGAACCCCAGGCTGCCGCAGCGGAGCACACGTACTTAACTGCGCCACTGAGCCGGCCCTTAATTGTCTTTTGAGAGAATTTTATTACAGTTGATTAAAATCAGTTCATATAATTTTACTTTGAATACTATCAGCTCAAAACCTCTAAAACTAGTATCAGTAGATGGAGACTGTTTATGCTACTAGAGTCAAGATGATACTAGACAATCTAAATAATGAATATTTTTGAAATGAAGGCATACTTATAACTAGAAGAAACCTTGGAGAATGTTTAGTCCGATCACCTCATTTTCGAAGTCAAAAACTGAAACCCTAAAACGCCTGCAATCTGGCAGCAGAGCTGGGGACTGGCTGCCCTGTACTTCTGATCCCAGTTCATCATCTTTCCTGCCTCCTTCAGAGGAGGAGATCTTCCCTTTAAAGGAACTGTCTGCTATTACAGTAGGTAAAATTCTGAATCACTTAGAAGATATAAACCAATTGGTAAATTTATAATTCTCTTAGGACCTTTTGGAAATACATTTTTTTCCTCAATCTCTTTTCCACTGAGATACTTTTTATTAAATCACAGTTTTTGAAGCACTATTAAATTGTAGAAGTTCATTGTTAAGAACAATATAATTATGATGTCACTATATTTTTAGTGAAGTTTGTATGACTAAACAAAGCCTTAGCCTACATTGTGCCCTTGAAGGTCTACACATATACATATTATAATTTAATGCTCTGAGTGACAACATGGGGGGATGTGGTCCATTTCAGAATCCTGGAGGCCTAGAAAGGGAATTGTGATGGAAGATGTGTCACATTTATCTTATGTTGTACAGAAATGTTACTTGCAAGCCTACCAGGGTAGGTTATGAATGTCACCAGTAATTGATTATGTAATAACCTAATGTGTTACTTAATGCTTTACTATTTATAGCTAAACAAAAATCTCGAAAATTAATAGTTCATTAGGCCTTAACTAACTTAGCAAGCTCTTTCCTTGGTTAAGCAAAGTGCCTTTCCTAGTGTAGTATGTCTAAAAATGATGTGGGTACCTTACCAAAATGTGTTTTGAATTACTGCTAGGACTGGTAGGGAAGATTGAGAACCACTAGTGTTTTACACAAAACACCTAACTACAGTTCATTTGTGTGCATTTTGAGAAATTTCTTAAGTGCCTGTTAACGTTTGTTTGGTTAGTTTTCAGTGATAGCATTTGTGCTAGAGTCCAACTTTGCAGCAAGCTTTTGTATAAAGCTGTGGACCAAAAGCACCTATTTATGGAAACCTTCCATGTGATATATCTTTAAGACATTCAGCTTCTTTATGGTGTGTTTTTCCATAGAGATGTAAAATTAATTTCTTTGCAGAGGTGTTAATCCATAAAATAAACTCACTCTTTTGCTTATTTTCAGGGATATCCCAGAGAAGGAAGGAAATACCCTTTGCCACCACCTTCAGGAAGATACAGTTGGAATTAGGCTTTTGTAAAAGCTTTCCCAAATCCTTTCATCATTCTACAATTTTATGCTATTTGTGGAAAGATTTCTTCCTCAAATAGTAGTTTTTAATAAAACTACAGTACTTTGTGTATTTCTTTTAACTGTGTATATTTCTACTAATCTGATCTCACTGTTTTATGTTGCTTTCCAAAGATGTGTTGCATAATACAGTGGATCTGAATTTATTATTGCTTGTAAAACACATTTGATGGAATAGGGATACTGGTTTTTCATTATGGTTAAAAATAAAACCAGCTGTGGATTTCAAAACACAGTGTATTCTAGATCATCTAAGATCCATGCTGATTTTTAATGCACAAGAATTAGGTATGAACTCTTGAGCTGGAACCCTCAGCCAACTAGAGTATATATTGTTCAGTATTTCTTTGGAAACATTTCATTAATGTACTTGTCTTATAGAAATTTCTGGACTTTGGTAAAAAAAAAAAGAAAGAAAAGAAAAAAAAACCTCTGGTCTCTTGTGTTCTTATTCTTTTACAGTATTTCAGCTTTGAAAATCTTGGCCAAGCATTTTTTTAATCAATTTTTCAGAAAATGATTCATTTCTACAATGTGATGTCAAAAGAAAATCAATGAAGAAGTAGATTTTAAGAGGATATGGTCAATAAGACAACCCGGCCAACCCATATATGTCTGTCAGCTACTGATTTGGCTAACAATAACATCTTTGTGAGAATAAATTATTTACCTTTTACAAATTTCATATAGACTTCTGCTCTAGTTTTAAAGGACTTGTTTTAAATATTTCAGAAAAGTTGAAAAGTTGAATTTGTAGCTAATTAGTCTGTGCTCCTTAGCATATTTTTTGCATTATTTCATAATAGATTTAATTTGTACTCATTTTTTCTCTTGCTACTAAGCACACTATAATTCCTTCAGTTTATGCTTGGAGTTTACACACCACACTTCCATGTGGGTTTTCATTTGCCACAACAGATTTAGACACCATATCAAGAGTCTTGCTGCTTTGTTTCCATTTTTCTGCTCTAGCCTAAGATTGTAAAATAAGGTTTCTCTTTGAACTTCTGATTTAGGACATTGTTGTTTTAATATTCAGTTAAGGCACACTTGTTAATCTTAGCCTATGTGGAAAAAATCCCACCTTAACCTTGAATAGAAAGGTATTTTGAAGCTATTGAGGTCATTGCTGGTGATGGGTGAATAGAGCAGGGTCCTTTATTGTTGAGACCAAGAGTCTCTCCACTGGTAATTAACACAACCATTACATATCACGTTCACAATGCATTAAAGTGGTAATCATGCCTTCTGTTAAATTTCTCTAATTTATATTCCAAATATTAAAATGTACAGCCACCTAAATCAAGGATTGCATATACCATAGGAGCCCATATAAATGTATCACTGTAGCTTCCTAGGTACCCGAAACCCAGACTTCTACAGAACCTGTGTTTTCTCAGGTCTTCGGTTTTGGTTTAGTTCAGTTTTGTTGTAAGCTATCACTAGTGTGTCTGTAAAGTAGTTGAGTTTTTCACTTGGCTTTTTCACAGTTAAATGTAACTGTTCAAAACAAATTAAATTTGAAAATGAATGTTTAAAGTGTTTTGAAGACGTCTAAGCAAAGAGCCTGATGGAAACATGAGGGCTGGATTCCCTCTTAACAGGTGCTGTGCTGGAAGGACATCTGCCAGCTCGTGGGACCCTCACTTCACCCCTGCTTCTTTCTCCTTATTCTTCCTCCATCTCTCCAACTTGTCCCCACGTTTGACTCTTAAAGAAAAATGGCCTGTTATTTCAACAAGTCAACGCTTTTTAGAACTTTGAAATGTTTAAAGCTATAAATATCCCCTCCATATTCGGATGTAAGAGTGAAGTCAACGGGCCAATTTTAAATAATTGTACCCCATTATATTGTCTTTAGGGCAGTTTTTTAGGGGCTCATATTAAAGATTCTTAAAAATCTTAGAACCTGGAAACAGCCTGATTTTATTGTGGCTCTAAGAGCCCTTAATGAGCAGTTGTCTTCCTTTGAAAGATCGAATACAGCAATGCACGTTAAAGTACAAGGCCATCTACAAACTAGTATTAGCTTCCTGTATGAGCGTTAGGAAGGCAAATTAAGTGTAATGACCGACAGGTTAACTTTCGTGTGACGACTCGAGACGTCGGGGCAGGCCGGGTGGGGCTGGGGTCCTGAGCTCGCGTTTCCGTGGGGCGCGTTGGACGTCGGGCGCGCCTCCACCGCGTCCAGGGCCCCGGGGAGCGGCCGCTCCGCAGCCGGGCGGGATGGTGGCGGCGCGGAAGCCGCGGGCCTGGCGCGGC